CTGAATCTATAACTATGTCTTTCTAGAAGATGTGTCGCCTGGCTAGGGCTGTGTCTTTTCATCTAAGTTGAGAATGTTTACCATAGTGCTCGATCCACAGTATTGCTATAGAAGGACTAATGGGAGAAAATGTATATTGAGTTATTGCGCTGGATAAACTGAGTCGATTTTCATCTAGTTTTGGGAAATTTAGGAGACATTTTCCAGAAAAATCTCAGCCTTTATGAAAAATTTGAAAGGAGTGGAGTGTACACCCTCTATGAAGAAAAAACTGTTTTCTATTGTGAGACGATTTCAAGAATATTTTAGTGTCCTTAGGTCCCTGATATTTTCTCTTCTCCAAAGAAGTTTGGGGTCCATCATCAGCAACATAGATGGGCTTTGGATCATCTTACCCCGAGAGATAGGTAACACTGGTACTCAGTTTAAAGACCTAAGACATCAAGGATTAAGCCATTAGTGTGTAACTACCAAGAAAATGTTCCAAAACATTAAAATAATGAGTATCATATCCAGCACAAAACCACAATAAATTGATATTATCAGCACAAAGAAGAAATAACATACTGGTGTTAATGACCAAAATAAAAAGGGATGCAAATTACTGTGCAGGCAGTGGTGGCACTCTTGCAAGTTGCTCCCTGGAATGCAGCTGAAGAAATAATTGGGCCTTGGGTTAGGGAAAAATAGGATTGCAGAAGGGTCACTGCCCAGGTGTGGGACAGACTGGAGGCTCAGGTAGCCGACTGCTGCAGCCTTGGCTTGCCTCCCAGCTGGCCCAGATGACACTGAGAATCCTGCTGGGCTCACTGCTGTGAGGTGGTGATGGATAACACCATGACCTGATTCTTGGAATCATGGATTCACTGCAGCATGCCTTGGCCATATGTGAGCCCTGATCACATGTGAGGTTCCCCTAGGAGGAGGAGGGGGAAGCCACATCACATGACATGTATCTTCTTTTATTGCAGCAGCTAGATTTGTTCAGACTTTCCTATACTTTATGGATTACAGGTTAGAGACACTCTCTTCCAATTCCAGGGCCACTGGATTTGGGGAGGCAGCAAAGGAAATGTTGGTTGGTTCTTGAGGTTTAGCTACTGTACATAGCCTCACCTTCTGGAAGCCTCAGAGATAGAGAGTATGGGGCAGGTAGAACCTCAGGGGTCTCGCTCAACCTTCTAGGGTTTGCAGGTGTTTGCAACAGCTATGACAAATAATTACTCTCACTGAATCCTCTCAGTGACAAGTAATTCACTTTTTGTATGGCATTTCATAAAGCTGAATACCTTAAATTATAGCCCTCTCCAAGGGTCTTATGTCAATCTTTGCATGTTAGTTCTACCATCAGCACAACCAGTGGTTCTCGAGAGCCTCTATGTTAGACAGGCCTTTCTATAATAGGAGGGTTCTTGTAGCTTGTTACTCTTTCTGTATCTTAAAGATCTTTTTTGGTGGGTCTTTTAATCTTCTCCATATATCCTTATTCAATTGTCCTCAGTTGGAATTGGGCCTTGGGTTAGGGAGAAATAGTTTCTGCAGAAGCTTTTGTGCAGAACTGCCCAGGTGTGGGGGTTGCCTACAGGCTCAGCCAGGTACTGGCACTGACTGCCTTGGCTTGGCGCCCATCTGGCTCATTAGAATCACCTAGGGAACTTTAAAAAACCCTGGTGCCCAGGCCTCACTAAATCATAATCTCTGCAGAGGAACCAAAGTATTGGTATATTTAAAGCTCTCTAGATGGCTCCGCTGTGCAGCCAGTGTTGTGATCCCCCGCCATGCCAGAACTCGGTTAACCTCTTCAAGGTCATGCTATGGAATAAGGCCTCCTATATTTGAATCCTGACTCAACCACTTAACAGTTCTTTGTGTCTCTGCATCTTCATCTGTTGCAGGGGATAATAACAATCTGCCTCAAAGAATCAGTGAAATAGCTCCAAGAGAACACGTTAAATCTAGAAGAGTCTCTGACACATGATAAGTTTGACTCAGAGCCTAGGACGGGGTCCAGAAAATGTTGACTCGATGTTTGCGCTCAGGATGCCAGGCAGGTTTTAAGCATTTCACGTGCATTCTTCAATGCATTTTGTCACAATGAAGATCTGTGGTAAGAAAAGTGACAAATGCAAAATGTGTCTTGAGACCCTCTCCACCTGGTAGAGCCCATCATCCCAGATTACCCTTCAATTTATGTCCTAAGGAACTTCCTGTTTGCCTTGTCATCACATATGCCTTCTTCCCATCAAAACCCCTTCGACTTCTAAAGTCCTGTACACTGAAGGGCATTCCAGGTAACTAAATTAAGAGGTCTTCAAAGGTCTTTGCAATGCTGTTTGTTGTTATTAAGTCCAATGCCTATTAGTGAGCTAGGCATATATGAGATGCCCACCAAATACTTTGTGGAATGACTAAAATAATTAACCTTGTAAATGACTATATATGTGTATATATATATATATGTATAAAATAACTATATATATAAATGACATATACACACACATATATATCTCCATGCAAAAGAGATGGAGAATCACCTAGTTCCTGTGAATGGTAAGAAGCTATTACTATAAATGCCTATTATGTGCTAAGCACTTTTCATGCATTATGACTTTTTGCAACCCTAGGAGACGGGTGTTAGACAATCTTTTACTGGGTAACCAACCCTCCACCTCCCGCCCCCCCCCCCAAAAAAAAAAGCCTGGTCTTTTCACGTGGCAACTACTTTGCTTGTGAATTTGTAATTAGGAGGGAGCATAACAGGCTCAGCAGTTCCTCTCAGCTCCACGATGCCTCAACTGAGGATGGAATACCCACTTTCGAGAGGGTTCATTCCTGGCCTGCAGATGTTATGGAGCCTCCCTGGTGGCCGAAGAGCCTCGCTTGCAGCCCAGGCTGGCTCTGGATTAAATGGGTTGGAATAGAAAACTCTTGCCATAAGAAGACATTTCTCCATCTCAGCCTCTCCACTCCCCATTCCAAGGAGAGCTGTGTCTGTGCTTGGGGAGAAGCCAAGCCAAGCAAAAGATTTCAACAGAGAACAGAGGAAACACACCCACTGAGGTTCTCATAGCAACATAATCACGCACAGGCAGCAGCCTATTTCGGTGGGAGCTTGTCTCAGCTCCCCTCCTCCCTGGTTAGTCACAGAATGGATGCACAGGCAGAAGCAGGGTGGGGTGGGGTGGGGTGGGGTGGGGGGAGAGTGTCGTACTGAAAGTCAGGAGGCCAGGGAGCTGCTCTCAGATGTTCCCTCAGTTGGCTGAAGGATCAGGGACAAATGTCCTCTCTCTACTCACAGGGTCCTTATTAGTAAAATGAGCGGATTGGCCCAAAGAGCTGGGAGGGTCCTTTCCTGGCTGGCTTCGATTGTGCAAGTACTGAGGCCCTATTGGCAGAGGATGAGAGGTTTCAGAATCTTTTATCTCCGAGAATGATATTTACAGAAAATAGGGTTCAAGAGGGTAAAAGATATTCTTGAGAGTCACCTCATCTCTCTACCTCTTTCTGTACTTTGTTGACAGGATGTGAAAGAGAATGACTAACACGTTTCCAAAGACACTGTTCTCTTACCCCCAACACTAATCAAATTCTGTGATCTAAGAAAGGAAAAGGTTAAGGAGGTTAAGGTCATTGTTTCAATTTACTCCTTGGAAACACACACCCTCCCATTACTCACGCCTCTTACAGCTCTTCTAACTCTCTTCCTCCTCCTCTCCCTGCCCCTCACTTCCCATTTCCACTTATTGCAGCGCATCTTCTCTTTTCCTGAGGACCAGGAACAGGAGGCCTCTCCAGATCCTGGCCCATTTCTTCAATGGATCCTGGGGTTAGTTGAGGACAATCAGGCTCACACTTCTTGGCTGTCAAAGGTGATGATACAAAGCAAACAGGCGCGCAGGCCGGACTGATCTCTCTGTGGAAGAGCAGGGATGCAGCCAAGAGGGCCAGGGTGTTCGCAGAGCCGCGTTCAGGTCCCTGTCCTTGACTCGTGGGCCGAAAGTGTGGAAGGGCAGCTGGCTTTTAAGGAGTCAGCCGGAGCGGCCTGTTGCAAGGGGAGAAACCGAGTGGGGGCCCCCCTCCCCTTGTTCTATCTCCCACCAGTCTGACAGATGGCCAGTAAGGCAGAGAGAGGAAAAGCTCTCGAAGTGGAGACAGGAATGCATTGTATAAAAATGCACACCCCCTGCCGCCGCCCAAACTCCCTTAAAAAAGGATCAAGAGAATCCTCATGGGTACGTGACAGCCTCCTTCTCTCCCATAAAAGGGACTTCAAAATCTGGTGATGGTGGGGGAGGGGCGAGGAGAAAGACAAGAAATGTGTGGGCTGGGGGCTGCCAGCGAAGACTGGGGTGTGTGTGTGTGTGTGTGTGTGTGTGTGCAAGAATGCAGGCTCATCCACTTGGCTTCTCCCACCCTCTTTCCCAAGTCACCTCTGGCTGAACCTCCTTCCCACCCGCTCAGCCGGAGAGGCCTGGAGCCCCAGCGCCCTGGCCGGGGAGGGTGGGGGCCAGGGGAGAAACACGGACACCCCGCTGAGCCCTCGCGTTGAGGGAGTTCAGGACCCTCCCTCACCGACACCCATCCCGCCGCTCCCCAAACCCTAATTCGCCAAGAAAGGCTCCAGGAACTGGCAGAGGAGTGGAGAGTTGGGGCGGGGCGGGGCGGGGTGGCGGCGAGGTAGCGGTGGCCCCATCTTTCCTGGCGCTGGTCCCGCGGTGGCAGGACGCGCGCCGGGGTCTCGGGACCCGCAAGGGGCGGCGGGCGCCGGGCCCCTCCGCGCCTCCCGCGTGGCCCCGCGGCGTCCGCGCGGCCCTGGGCGCCGTCGGGCGCGCCGGGGAGCGGGGGCGGCCGCGAGACCCCGGGCGTCTGGGGGCGGGGGCGGGCCCGGGGCCGCGGGGGGCCCTCGGGCTGCGCCCGGCAGCCGCCGGCTCCGCCGAACCTCCTACCCCGCCCCCACTCACCCGGCTCAGCCCCCGGGAGAGGCGCGCAGGGAGCGGGTGGCTTCGCCCCGCGGGGCCGCCGAAGTTGAGCGGAGTTGGAGGCCGGCCCCGGCCGCCGGGGGGGCGCGCCGCGGGCCCAGGACGCGCCGCCGCCGCGCAGCCCCCGGGGCCGCTCGCTCCTGCCCAGCCCGCGGCGCGGGTGGAGGGGGGCGGGGAGGGGGTCGGGCGCGCGAGAAGAACTTGGAACTGTGTGGAGGAACCCGGCGCCCATGAGAAAGGGGGAAAAGAAAACAAAGTGGAGCCTGCGGGAGAGGCTCGGCCGCGGTGACTGTGCCGGCTGACGCTCCCGCGGAGGGGCTGGGTCGGGCTTTTTTTTTTTCCCTCCCGTTCTGTCTTCTTTCTCGCTCTCTTTTAAAGCGACACCAGCGCTCCCTTTTCTACTATCTCTGTATCACCGAACCCTTGCTGGCGCTTATGGGCATGAAACACTCCTCCCGCTGCCTGCTCCTGAGGAGGAAAATGGCGGAGAACGCTGCCGAAAACACCGAGGTAAGGAGACCGGAGGGCCGGGGCTTGCGGCGACCCCGGCAGCGCCCCCCCGGCCCCCCCCCGACCCCCGACCCCGGAGCCGCCGCTCAGCACCCGGTGCCAAACTTTCCCCAGCTCCATCCCGCTTGCTTCCGCCGGCCGCGCGCGCGCGTGTGTGTGTGTGAGTGTGCGTGTGTGTGTGTGTGTGTGTGTTGGGTGGGGGGAAGACAGTGCACGTCTCGGGTCCCCTCCCTCTTGAAAATGCAAAAGAGTCCCTCTCACCCCAGCTCCCTCTCCTGCCACCCGCTCGCTCCTCGCTCCTCTTTTCCCCAAGTCCCAAACCCTGGGCAGCCGGGCTCCCTGCTCTGTCCTCGGGGCTGGAGTCCCCGCTCTGTGCCTGCTGGGGCGCGGGTGATCCGGGGCCCGGGTCTGCTTCCCGCGGCGCCCTGACCCTCTCCGGCTGCTGCCTTCAGGCTCGAGTCAGCCTGGAGCTCTCGGTCCCCGCAGCACCGCGGAGAGCTCCCCGCCGCCGGGTTGCGGGGGGTGTGTGTGTGTGTGTGTGTGTGTGTGTGTGGAGGGGACTGGCCGACCCCGTGGTGGGACTTGGGCACCATCCACCGACCTTCCGGCCCAGATCCGGGCAGGCTGAGGTCTGCAGCCCTCGAATATCCGAGCCCCTTCCGGGACGCGGACCCGGGCAAGTGCGCCGGGCCCCGCCGCCTTCAGCACCAGGGACAGCGCCCGCCCCTGCCGCAGCCGGGCGCGCGGGCGGTGGGGGGCTGCGCGCGGCCGGCTGCAGCGAGAAGCGGGTCTGCAGCCTCGCGTCCCGCAGCAGCTTTTGGGGAGGTCGCTGGAGCTTCGCGCATTGCGCTCCTGCGCACCCGCGCCCACCCCGTCCCCTGCCTTCGGCAACCCAATAGCTGCCCTGAGCCGCAGAGCGCCCCGTTGGGTGTAGCGTCCCAAGACTGGAGCCTGTGCTCCCTCCTCTCTCGCTGACCTGCGGTCATTACAACTGGACCAGCCCGTAGGCTTTGGGCACCTGTAGTCACGAAGGGGATCAGCGTGGGCAGCCCCCCGCCCCTTACCTTCCTGGAGACACGGTGCGTCGAGGTGGGGGCGGAGTGGGGTATGTGTGTGAAGATCATCCCTTACTCGGTGGCAGGAAAAAGACACAGAGAGCAAACTCCCGGGCTCTATTAATAGCCGGGTGTCTGGTGGGGCTGCCGTACATTTCACATATGGTTCCCCATATGCAGCGTGGGGCGGAGATGGAGGTGTGGCGCGGGGATTGTCCCTCTGTCTTGCTGGAACGCAAAAAATAAAGGTGCAGAGACCCTCCTCGATCTTTTCCCCTCGAGGTCTGAACTGCAGCTCACCCCTACCCCGTAGCGTAGGCAGCAAAGCGCTTAAAATCCCCATTCTCTGGGCTGAAGCAGCGTGCATCTGGCAGCTGTCGCTTTTGAAACAAACACGCTCTGGGGCTTGACAACAGCAGGGCATTTAGTAGCTAATGCCATCTCCTTGAGTTAGGGCATAGCCGGTGCGTGCGGTCACCAAGCCACTTCCTCTCTCCCACCCCCATCCGAGAGCAGACATCCAGAATGATGTGGAGTGCCAGGCGCCCAGCCTCACAGCAGAGAACTAACTAGCCTTACCAGTCTCGTCGCCCTCCTCCCTCTGATCGCCCACCCGTGGAAGAGGTTTCTAAAAATAGCTCGGAGTCAAGGCTGCACTTCTGCAAAGTCTTGGGCTAGCGGGCACGTAGCAGTCTCTGCAGCCAGGTGGCTGGAGCGGTGGGAGCAAGGAAATGCTTTCTACTGTCTCCCCTCCACCCTACTCCCCCAGTTGCTAAAAAAAAAAAAAAAAAAAAAAAAAGTTTCCGCGGGTCTCCAGCCCCCCCACCCCGGGCTGTTGTACGTGCAGCTCCTCGGGTGCAGACCCCTGCCAGGTTCCGCAGTGCACAGCGGCGGCTGCTGAGCTCCTCGGCCGGGGTTAAAGGCGTCGGGGGCAGGCAGAGCGACGCGCGCCAGGCTATTTTTACTTGCTTCCCCCGCCACTCAATGCTCCACCTTCTCAGCAGTCGCACATGCCAGCTCTGCTCAAGGCATCAATGAAAACAGCAGTAGAGGCCGCCCAGCTCCTGTGAGCAAAAAAAAAAAAAAAAAAAAAAAAAATCCACGTTGGACGCCCACAAATGCGGTGGGGGAGGGGCAGATCCAGTTGGGGCTCCTTGGAGGGGAATGAGTCTGAGGCTTAGTTCTTAGCTGCTTCGCATGAGAAGGGGAGCGATTCAGACTCGGTTGAAAGTGCCCAGTGGAGGCATCCAAGCAGATTGACAATCACTTGGTTTTCCTCCAGGAACTGACTGTTTTTGGAATAAGCCAGGACTAGAGCAGTACTTCCAAAAGTGGATATTGTGGGCTTGCCTGCGTTTATGGCAGGAGAGAGAGGCACGGCTGTCTCTGTGGGTTGAGTGTGTGTGTGTGTGAGCACGCCGGCACGTGCGTGCACAACATACGTGTGTGTTGGTGGTGGTCGTGGTCTTTGTTCATCATTCAACATATCATCAAACGCTGACTTTAAAACAGGAGAAACTAATATCCAAAGATGAAGACAAGTTGGGAACCCCCAGCGAGGTGGGCAGTAGGGCAGTATCATCCCTAGAAGCCTGCATCTTGTTGGTGATGTTTGCAAGCACGTCGCCTCATTCCATCTTCACAATGCAGTGAGATAAAGCAAAGTTAATTCTCGCTTCCTAGACCCACTTTATAGGTGAGCACATTGAGGCTGAGAAGTTAAGCACTTTCTGAAAGTCGCCTGATTGCGCGAGTCAGCCTTGGGACACAGACTGGCCCCGCTTCTGATTCATTGCCCTTTACCTGTATTTGCTCTTTCTGACAAAAGCCATGTGACAATGGGAGCGAGAGAGGCCTGAGGAGGGAAGGGAGAGATGCAATATCAGGGGGAGGTAAGGATGGTGGAAGGAGGTGTTCTTCCACAAGGGAAAGATAAGGAAAGATATGCTAGTGATTCGTCAGGCAGGAGAAAGTGAGACGTAGACTATTTGTACTGTGAGCAAAGCCACCTTCAACAAGCAAAGTCTAGACCATCCAGGGCCCGGGCTTGCTGGGTGTGGCTGGCACTGGGTGACCCTGACTACGCGCTTTAACCCTTCGGACCTCAGATCCCTGTGTGCTAACTGGGACTGATTCTCCTTGTGGCACCAGGTAGGCATATGCTATAAGGAAACGCTGGTGCCCCGGGCCATGGCAAGCACACAGCAGTGTTAGTTCCCCTTAGACAAGTCCTCCACCTTCCTCCTGCTTCTCCGCTCAGGGCATCCTCATCTCTGCCCTTTCTGAGGTAGTAAGTAGTCTCTCAACTGTTGATCCTCCTCTTGAAATTAGCCTGGTTATCACTACTTGATGGGTTTTCAGCAGCACAAAGGTGCTCATGATTAGAAGCTGCAGAGATTTACCATGTTGCCCTGTTACCTACAGGACACAGGGTGGAGGCCGATTTCCTTAACCTAGTACAGCTCCTTTAATACCTGCCCCATGCAGTTCTCTGCACAGACCACAGATGTTAGGCTGATGATGCTTCTGTGCATACTGGGTTACTCGTCCCCCTTCTCCTTGGGGGAAAAAATGCCTCAACCTGCAAGACCCAACTCAAAGGTCACTTCCTCTGGGCAGTCCACCTAGATCTGCTATTTATCCCAAACCCACTACCCCCTCTTCTACCAGGAAGAGAGCTACTTCTCGTGTGTTCCAAACCCCTGTCTTTCACATTTCCTACTATAAAATTCAGTGGTTATATGTCTGGTCTGCAGTTAGGTAATGAACTTTTGTTAAGAACAGGTATATGGTGTGCCTGACACACCATAAATAACAAAGGTAATAATAAATGTTGACTGAATTGATTCTTGTAATTGTGGAAAGCGTGTGAGTCTTCTGCTTGTTGTCACTCGTGGCTTTCTGAAAATTGCACTTTCTGTCTCCCACCCTCTCTGCCACACTTACGTTATTGTGGACCTTTACGACTCAAATTGAGTAAAGATTCTGGGAAGCAAGGTGTTGTAGCAACTTAATGCATAGGAACATTCTGGTTATTCCTGTGCCTATTCAATATTCAGTGATTACAGACTCTCCTGTGGGGTGTTCCTCTGAATAGCAGATAAATGGATTAATCACAATGCCCAATTATTAACCATGGGGGATAATGGACCCTTCTGAGCTACTGCCTGCTTTACTGGATCTCAGTGAAAGACTCCTGCATCATTTATGCTGATGGCTCCCTGATTGGGGTTTTAGCACCTCAAAGGAGAGCCCCCAGGAGTGAGAAAACAATTTTAGCAAGGAGTCACTTTGGAGACTGTTTTTTTTTTTTTTTTTTTTTTTTTTTTTTGCACATTCTATGGACTTGGTGGCCTAGGGGGAGAGAATAATTATGGGATGCAAAAAAATCCTGCAATAAGGCAATGGGGTTAGAGGTACCAATGAGTGCTGGTCTGGGAGTTAAGGGGCGAGCTGACCTGGCTTTTGACAAGGTATGTGTTGTTGGTTTTGGCTAGTGGACCCTTCCCCACAGGAAAGACGTTTCACCTAAAGTGTATGGTACAGTACAGGTCTCCCTCTATCTGCGGTTTTAGTTACCTGTGACTTGAAATATTCCATAAAATATTTTGAGGAAAATAGAGATCATATTTACGTAACAGTATATTATTTTATCACAATACAAATCACTCTATTTTTAAAATTACTAGTACAGTATTATTAGTCTATTACAGTTGTTCTAGTTTATTCTAAGTTATTGTTGTTCATCTCTTCCTCTGCCTAACTTATAAATCAATGTGGCTAGAATATAAGCTAGACATGGATGTGTAGGGCAAAACAGCCTAGGTAAGGCTCAACACAATCTGGTTTCAAACATCTGTTGTGGGGATCTTGGGGTCATGTCCCCTGCTGACGGAGGGGGCACTACTCTACAAAGGTCAGGGAATTGAGGAGGAAGAGGGCAAA